CGGCTTGGCCCATCATGGAGCCTAGGTATCCGCAGAGAATGCAAAAGATAATGGTTCTGTTCCAAAACCTAGAGAGCGACATCATGGTCTACTGTCTACCTAGACAGTTGCCTTCTAAATGAGGTGGAACCTCCCAACTGACTGTTTAGGCAGCGACTCCATGAGACACAAAAACACAGAAGACTCAACACAAATATTGGATAAGAGTCAGTTTTTAATTAGACTGAACTATTTTTACAGATCATACGGGTTCTTTACAGTACCTTGGTGATATGCTTCTAGGATTGCCTTCTCCACAAAAGACACATTCTTAGCTAGAATTTGGCCAAGACATGGTATCTTAGAAAGCTGCATTATTGTTCCTACATTTGGGAACAGCTTTGGTGTCAGAAGTAGAGCTGCACTATTCTGGATAAAGTGAGAATCACAATATTTTTTGTTTAAAATAGAGATCACGATTCTAAACAAAAACGTAATTTACTAGGTTCTGACAAAAATAGCTGCAGTCTATTTACAAAATATTTAAAGGTGCAGTGTGTATTTTTTAGCGACATCTAGCGGTTCGGTTGCGAGTTGCACTAATGGCTCAGCCCACTGCTCACCCCTCCCTTTCGAAGAAGCTACGGTGGCTAAAACGGGACAAACATGTCGTCGTCTGAGACAGCAGAGAATAGCCAGAGTAAGCCAATAGTGTGTAACATTGTCATTGTTTCTGTACCACAGTCCATTATAAACCACATCATGGATAAAGTTTACAAAGCCATAGTCAGGTGATGATCAAGGGTCTTAATATATAATATAATAATTAGGGCTGCAACAACTAATCGATAAAATCGATAATAATCGATTATGAAAATCGTTGTCAACGAATGTCATTATCGATTAGTTGGTCTGCTTACGTCACGGGGAGCGTTTACTGGTGATTGGTTGAAACAGGCCAATCAGGATGCTCTCTGTCTTACACGCGCTTCATGAGGCACACACGCAAGGTTTCTCTCCCTCCGTTGCTCTGCCGCGCGCTCGCGCTACACGGTTTGGAGCACAGTCTCTTCTGTCTCGCATGCGCGCTCTTGCTTGCGCGCTCAAATCCCGGGAGTTTGAACTAATTTGCGAGCATCAGGGAGCCGCTATCAATATGCGGGTGACTTCCAGAACTTCCGGGAGACTTGGGATGTCTGTATTTTGCGTCTCGAGCATCAGGTTGCGCAATCAGTTCGCTCGCAACATAAGTGATGGATTAAAATAGTGCTACCGCAGAAATATTAAATTAAAACGGTCTTTACAAAGCGAAGCACTAAATATAAAGGCAGTTAATAACAGCAGCAGTAAATTATTGTTTTTTAGTCACTGTACTCAGTGGTTTTCAGCGAATGTTTGTGCACTAATGCATCATTTTTCCTGTCTTTTTAATCAAGCCTGTTAGCTTGCTGCGTACCTCCATTACGTTCTCTTTATATAGCATTTGTCTACTATTAAGTTTTAATTGTTTTACAAACGCGATCTACTGCGGCTCTATGTTCACACGCTTGTTTTCAGTCTTTCTATATTTATTTTTACAAATTATCCTTATAATTCAATTAATTTTATTAATAAAAATTAAATGAATTATATATTTGAGATGTTTTTAGTTTATATCTTCACATCTGAACAACATGTCTGTAAATTTGTTTTAACAAAAATTGTGCTAAAACAATATGTTGGATATATGTTGGATTTTTTTACATTAATGGTTGTCAACTTGCCATCAGCAATTATCATTAAAAACAATGCAAATTTTGATATTTGTAAAACTCAATGTGTGGCTCTTGCACTTTTTAAAGTACACTTTTACACATAAATATCCTAATTTAGGGTTTTAGGTAACACTTTATTTTACGGTGTCCTTGTTACATATGTTACATGTACTTACTCTAGTAATAACAGTAAATTATGCATAATTACATGCAACTAACCCTCAACCTAATCCTACCCTATTCCTATAGTAAGTACATGTAGTATTACTCTGTACTTAAATATATAATTACACTGTAACAAGGACACCTTAAAATAAAGTGTAACCGGGTTTTATTTAGTCATAATAAACAAAAAATCTAATGGAATTTTTTATCCGATTAATCGATTAATCGAAGAAATAATTGTCCGATTAATCGATTATCAAAATAATCGTTAGTTGCAGCCCTAATAATAATAGTAATCAGCTGATTGTGTTACAAACGTAACCAGCACATTTCTCCACACATAGCAAACCCATAATACAGCGAGGGAGAAGAACCACATGAAACTATGCAACTACCGGTATATATTTTTTCTAACAGGTTAGTAAAAGTTTTTAGCTGGCTAAATATGAGCTGTTACTGTGGCTGAGCTGGTTAAAGCGAAAAGCCTTGTTTAAGCGCGCGCACCTCCGCATCCCCTAGACACCATTTACTACACACAATAGGCTTTTTTTCTCTGATTTTGAAAACTCTTCGCGATCGACTTAAAATGCTTCCAAGATCGACTTGTCGACCGCGATCGACGGGTTGGTGATTCCTGTAACATAACAGTTACTGTTTTACGGTCAATGACAAGAGTACTAATCAGCTGTCTCACGAACGTAACCAGCACATTTATCCCCACATAGCAAAGCCATAACACAGCGAGGGAGAAGAACTAAGTTACATGAAACAATCCAACTACATATTTTACACCACTGACAAGGGAAAAGTCACTACTCACGGTGTTTATGGCTAGCTTCTAGCTTTCTGCGGCTTCTCTTTCAAAACGACGTTTGTTCGCTGCCGGCTACGGTAGAAACATGACGTCACAATATTTCGACCTTCATAGAAGGGGGTGCCCGCGGTTACGTAGATATAAATGTCTCATTCTAAGGTTATAAAAACATTACGGTTTATTAAGTAAGTTCTTTATACACCACTGAACACATAGTTATGGATGTCATATTGCATTTCTGTTAATAGATACTCAAAATTTTTACACATTGCACCTTTAATAATATGAATTATTATTATTTTTAATTGGTTTGAATGAATGATTCAATGACTCACTCATAAAGACTTCGCTTGTTTCATTACTGGGTGAATCAGCGTTTTTGAATGAATCTCTTGAGTGAATGATTTAATGACAAATACAATTTTTAGCAGTCGCTTCTCGCCACTTGATACAATCTTTTTTTCAGTCAGGTTACTTTCAAAAGGTGATTTACTCTATTTTGATCACTAACATACACATCAGTGTTTATATAAATATTATTTATATATATTATATATTTAAAGTCCCCCTGTGGTGAAAATTAACCTATTAATGTTGTTTATATGACTATGTGGTGTTTTTAATATTTGTAATATTTCATAAGTCAACACCATTGCTGAGTATTTTCTCTTTAAACCATAGACAGTCTCAAAAACGCGGTTTGAAATCACTGGTGTTTCTGACATCACAAATTACCTTGTAACCAATCACGCCAACGAGTGATCATCAACAAGTTGATCTCTGAGCTCGTGTGAGTGAGTGGAGGCGGGCTAATTTGCATATTCATAGAAGCATGTATACTAAATGAAGCAAGGGTGTAGAGTTACATTCAAGCTATTTTAAGGCATGAAGACATTATTTTCAAGGAAAAAACTTTTAAATATGTCATTTTGATGATCAAAGTTGAGTTTTAAGGGATGCAATTATTGACTACAGGGGGACTTTAAGTATATATTAAGAACTTCTGTGACAATTTGAATTATTGTAACACAGAAATAGTGATACTTGTGTGGTTGAAAAGACTGTTTGTGAAAACTGTCTGTTTTATACCAACAGAACACATGACAACTACTCTCTTGGTCAGCAGCAAATGCAGATTTGAATGTTCGTTCGCTGTGATCATACTTGTCAAAGGTTTAATAGCCATAGCTGAATTGTTGTCATTTAGGAATAAGATCGCATGGGTGTCTGAATCGGGATTGCGATCTTTTAAATGATTAATCGTGCAGCTCTTGTAAGAAGTGTATCTGTAATACGGGCAGATCACTAGGTTTTGGACCAGAGCACATGGAGTAGAACACAGACAATCACATGCATTCATTCATTGGGCATGTTTCAGGTAGACTACTAACCTTTGGCATGAGGTCGATCATTTAGAATACTCTAAATTCATTAACATTTGAACAAGGTTAAGACCAAAGTCATGTGCATATGCATGTGTTATGAAATTGGATTTTGTTTGTAAGAATTTTATCTGTGCATATACATAAGAATAATTTACACAATTATTACTGAATGAGACAATGTGTTTTCCTACAGCTCAAACAATAGAGAATGGCGCTAAGGTCATCGGTTTGATTCCCATGGAAAGGCAAAAACTGACAAACAATTTGTGACAAACCGTGTAAACAACGTCTCTTTAAGCTTTTGTGTATAAATGCATAAATGCGAAATGCAGATCAAATGAACCCTGCCTTTTTACCCATTTAATTTCTCAATTGACCTCATCCTGGTTCATCACTGCACATCATTCCAGAAAAAAAATTAATAACTTGGTCAACCTGAGACAACATTCTTTTTCATCTGACATCGTCTAGGCCGTGCAAGGTTATTGGCTAATGTTAACAAATAGTCAAACTATTTAGGCAATATATTTTAGCAAATCTTGACTTCATTTTGGCCTGAAAAAATCCATTTCCAATTTCTAGTCTGGTCCTTATCACATTTAACTCAGAAATATGTCATATTACAGAAGTAAAATGGGCCTTAAGTGCAGTTTCATGTTGACCTAGTTTTTGTGAAATCAGTCTTGAATGGAAACAATTACAAACTCTAAAAAATTTTTTTTTTTTACAAGAGCACATAAGTCAACATTCAGTTGTAAACCATCAGTAATAATTGTAGGGTATTATCATTCAAATTCTTTAACATCATGGTGTGCTTTGTGAGATTAGCTGCAATTCACAGTATATATTTAAGTGTACTGTACAAATGTAGTGTACAAGCAGTACATATTTAAAGTCACCTACCTGTTCAGGATGCTCGCTGCCTGTGATTTCAGCCACAGTGTTGAACGAGTCAACATCTGGAAGTGTTTGGGCCGCCATTGTCAGACGCACCACAATCCTCTGACCTCTGCGGGCCATCCTGGCCATCATCTGGGCATCCTCGATAGTGATGCAGGCGGTGGGGATCTGAACCACTCCAGGCTGGTACCACTGCCAGCCAGTGTGGGGACTGAAAACAACACCACATGTGGGTTAAAAACATAAAAATCTGCTTTTAAGTGTTTCAAGAATAATTTTTTACAATATACACCACCGATCAAAGTTTTTGAATGTTTTTTTTGCATTTATTTGATCAAAAATACAGTAAAAACTAAGTAATATTATTATAAAGTATTTTTTTATTTATTCCTGTGATGGCAAAGCTGAATGTTTTAGTAGCCTGTACTTCAGTTTTTAGTTGTTGTTTTTTTGTGGTAACTGTGATACTTTTTAATAATTCTTTGATGAATAGAAAGTTCAAAAGAACAGTATTTATATATTTTGTAACATTATGAATGTAACTTGATGAATTTAATGCATCCTTTAATGCAACTTAAAAGTATGAATATCTTTTTTTTTTTCATCCTGAATGGTAGTTAATCACGGTTTCCACACAAATATTAAGCTGTTTTAAATATTGATAACAATAAGAAATGTCAGAGCACCAAATAAGCATATTTGAATGATTTCTGAAGGATCATGTGACACTGAAATATTAAAAACATTGTATATAATATTTATTACTATAAATCCTAATATTTTAACTGTATTTTTCACCAAATAAATGTAGCCTTGGTGAGCATAAGAGACTTTTTTCAAAAACATTCAGTATTTCAAACTTTCGACCTATAGTGTATTTTATTTTAAGATACCATTCTATGAGAAACAAATAATCTCTGGAGCATCAATCTTGAAGGTTACTTTTAAATTGATTTTAATTTCCTTCTTTTGTTTACACATTATTCAAATTTATATTTGAAAAGCCAGTAGCCTTTAGTTTACAGTGGCAGTCCTTTTAATGATGACTTCACATGCATTGATTCTGACCTGTTGATGGAGAATGGAGTTACTGAACGGATAAGAGAGGCAACGGCTCCAACTTTAGCAGCCTCTGAGGCCCCTGAGGCCCGATAGGCTACAGTCTCCCCATAGCTGACAAACGGCTGGTTATACACAACGATTTTCCCTTTAGCCTCACTCGCTCGCTTCTTCAACTCTTCAAAAGAGTCCACCACGATTACCTCAGCCTCTATACCTGCCAGGAGAACAGAAGCTTAGATATTTGCAGGTGCAGGTATTTAAAAGGTCATGACTAGATGGACTGTGACTACTAACCCCCTGGAGGAGTTCCTACACTACTACCAAGCCCAAGTATGGCTAAAGTGTGGTTTCTCGGTAGAAGCATCACCGCACTCTCCTCCCCCCGCACCCAGTGAGGGATCTTCACTGGCTCTAGATGCACATTCTCCAGTCCGTCCTGTCTAAGGGCATTGTACATGTACTTAATGGCCAGGTCTAGGTTCTTAGAGCCACTGACTCTGTTTCCAATGGTGTCAGTGAACTCAGCTAGCCTCTCGTAGGAACGGTTCTGGGCTTTTCCATATACTGCCAGGTTTATGATTTGTTGAGCGATGTCAGAGTACTTAGAAACCTCTCTGGATATTTCAGAAAGGGGTTTACTGTCATAACTGTGAGGCCTAGAGTGACACTGTAGAAGACAGCAGAGGATAAGAAGAGTCCGCAGTGCCTGACTGGTGGAGTTATGACCCCTGCTTTTATTGCCAGTCATCTGAAAAGCACATGAGAGATAAAGAACAAGTCAATAATATTTGCCATTTATTCTGTAAAATTAAATGAGTTAAATGAGTATTTAAATAATTTAATATACATATAAAGTATATTTTCTCTGATCTGTCAGTAATGCAGTTCAACTGGTTATTAAATAAATAGTTTCCTGGAACTGGTTGCAACTTTTTTTCAAAGTCGTTTCTGATATGAAAACATTTTATACATTTAAGCAAAAACATTTAAGCAACTCCCATTTTTTTGCGATCACTGGCTTATGTTAGAATGGCACAGTAACAATAATAATCACATATACGTTTATATAGGCTACATACTAAAAATACAACAAACTGTTTGATATTATATGCACAAAAAATAGACCACATAACGGCTTATTCTAGGTTTTAGGGGAAAGGCATTACAATAATTGTATGCATAATTTGATTGACTACGTATTAAACTTAAAATGTATACATTTACCGGCATGGTTTCACAACTGTACATTCCTTGAAAACATTGGGCGCTCATGTGGCTACGGCAAGCGCCCTGGAACAAACACACAAAACGCGTTTAGTATTAAACTGACGAGACGCCTTTCAAAACAACATTCCCAAACCGTTGTCGTTTTATGAAGCAAATCGATGACAATTTACTATTTAAAATTCAAAATTTACTGATGAGGTATGTAGAGCAAGTAAAAGTCTGAAAACATAAAAAAAAAAAACATTATTATTAGTATTGTTGTTGTTGTCATCTAACATTGCTCGTCTATGTCAAAATGACTGAGATGGCCAAACAAACCAAAGAAGATGTACGCTGAAACCGCACACGTACAGTAATTTCGAGTTTTGTGAAAAGCATTTACATTCATTCATCTATTTTCTGAGATCTCCTTGTATGGCAAGCCGTTTTAGCTTAAATTGTACCCAGCCTTACTTGTTGTAATTTCATTTTTACTAGTAAAAATTTAATTAGAGAACTTTACAATTCAATTCGTACTAGTAGCAATTACAATTAGAGAGCTCTCTAATTCAATTCTTACTAGTAACAATTGCGATTAGAGAGCTCTCTAATTCGATTCTTACTAGTAAGAATGTAATTGCAGAGCTCTTTAATTCAATTAAAGAGCTCTGCAATTGCATTCTTACTAGTAAGAATTAAATTAGAGAGCTCTCTAAATCAGTTTTTACTAGTAAGAATTACATTAGGAGAGCTCTTTAATGCAATTATTACTAGTAAAAACTGATTTAGAGAGCTCTCTAATTCAGTTCTTACTAGTAAGAATGCAATTGCAGAGCTCTTTAATTCAATTAGAGAGCTCTACAATTCAATTCTTACTAGTAGCAATTACAATTAGAGAGCTCTCTAATTCAATTCTTACTAGTGAAAATACAATTAGAGAGCTCTCTAATTCAGTTATTACTAGTAACAATTACAATTGCAGAGCTCTCTAATTCAATTCTTACTAGTAACAATTCCAATTAGAGAGCTCTACAAATGAATTCTTACTAGTCATATGTCTCCATTGACTTCCATTCATTTTTAATTACAGAGCTCTTTAATTGAATTGTTACTAGTAAGAATTACAATTAGAGAGCTCTACAATTGAATTGTTACTAGTAAGAATTACCATTAGAGAGCTCTCTAATTCAATTGTTACTAGTAACAATTCCATTAGAGAGCTCTCTAATCCAATTATGACTAGTAACAATTACAATTAGAGAGCTCTCTAATTCAATTCTTACTAGTAACAATTTGATTGTAGAGCTCTCTAATTGAATTGTTACTAGTAACAATTACAATTAAAGAGCTCTGTAATTTAATTATAGAGCTCTCTAATTGCATTCTTACTAGTAACAATTCAATTATAGAGCTCTCTAATTCAATTCTTACTAGTAACAACTCAATTGCAGAGCTCTTTAATTCAATTAGAGAGCTCTCTATTTCAATTGTTACTAGTAAGAATGCAATTAAAGAGCTCTCTAATCCAATTATTACTAGTAAGAATTCCAATTAGAGAGCTCTCTAATCCAATTATTACTAGTAAGAATTCCAATTAGAGAGCTCTCTAATTCAGTTGTTACTAGTAAGAATGCAATTGCAGAGCTCTTTAATTCAATTACAGAGCTCTGCAATTATACATATCTTTAATTTGTTTTTTTACTAGTAAAAATTCAATTAGAGAGCTCTGTAATTGCATTCTTACTAGTAAGAATTGAATTAGAGAGCTCTCTAATTGTAATTGTTACTAGTAATAATTGGATTAGAGAGCTCGCTAATTGTAATTCTTACTAGTAATAATTGAATTAGAGAGCTCTGCAATTGCATTCTTACTAGTAAGAATTGAATTAGAGAGCTCTCTAATTGTAATTGTTACTAGTAAGAATTGAATTAGAGAGCTCTCTAATTGTAATTGTTACTATAAGAATTGGATTAGAGAGCTCTCTAATTGTAATTCTTACTAGTAATAATTGAATTAGAGAGCTCTCTAATTGTAATTCTTACTAGTAACAATTCAATTATAGAGCTCTCTAATTAAAAATGAATGGAAGTCAATGGAGACATATGACTAGTAAAAATTCATTTGTAGAGCTCTCTAATTGCAATTGTTACTAGTAAGAATTGAATTAGAGAGCTCTGTAATTGTAATTCTTACTAGTAATAATTGAATTAGAGAGCTCTCTAATAATAATTGTTACTAGTAAGAATTGAATTAGAGAGCTCTCTAATTGTAATTCTTACTAGTAACAATTCAATTATAGAGCTCTCTAATTGTAATTGTTACTAGTAATAATTGAATTAGAGAGCTCTCTAATTGTAATTGTTACTAGTAATAATTGAATTAGAGAGCTCTCTAATTGTAATTGTTACTAGTAATAATTGAATTGTAGAGCTCTCTAATTGAATTATTACTAGTAAAAATGTAATTACGACGAGTAAGGCTGGGTACAATTAAAGCTAAAACGGCTTGCCATACTCCTTGTACCACGTGACCTCTGTACGACCTGCACGCTGCGGATTCATTTCCACACTCCGAAGATGTGATTCTAATCATTCTGGCCCCTTATATCCAGGCCATTTCCTCTTTGAACTGTTGCCGTCTGGTCGGAACTACAGCACCAGAACAGCCAGGCACAAGAAACGTTTCTTTCCTCAGGCCATACCCCTCATGAACAGTTTTTGCCCCCACTGGGCAATAAACATGTGCAATACAGAACACTATTTGTTATACTTAGCACACCATACCTCGTATTTACACTCCCTTGCATTTGTATATAACATATCTGTACATAGACCTACATAAATTGTCTGTTGTCTATTTTGTGAATAGTTTTGTTTTTTATATATTTTTATTGTTTTATTTACTTATTCTATTTTATTCTATTTCTATGTTTTATTATCTGTCTTGTCGCCGTCATTCTGTCTGTTGGCCTACTGTGTAAGCTTCTGTCACCAAGACAAATTCCTAAACATACTTTGCAATAAAGCTCTTTCTGATTCTGATTCTGATCAGCTCCGAGTATAGGTCCAGGGTCCCCTCGGGTAGTTATTGTTGTCTGTTTTGTTTTATTTTATTATTGTTAAAAGCCCATCAACTCTGCACCTGAGTCCTCGTCAGATTGGGAATGTTTTTTTTTACTCCGCCCGGGGTATTATTATTTTTCAATAACGCAGGTTAAAATACGGTAGATTTACGGGAAAATCCTAATACGGGAGGCTGGCGGGAAAGAAAGGTAAAATACGGGACTTTCCCGGCCAAAACGGGATACTTGACAGGTATGGGGTCCTCGCTCCTTTCACCACCACCACCACACCTGACAAGTATACTGTTATGTATACTTTAAGTGTAACAGTACTACTGAGTACACTAGTTTACAACTGTTTTTCGTTTGTACTACAAAAGGTTATACTGATAGTTATACTGCCACTTTTTTTTTTTTAGTTTATGAAAGTACACTTTGAATTATATTCTCAGTAAACTACTAGTTTAGTAGTTTTATATTGTAAGTATTCTTGTAAGTTCTCTTTATACATCAATATTTTCAAGCAATATAAGTTTATAAGACAGTATGTAAAACTGAGCGTTTAATGAGCATTTAATAGGCTTCTCAATCAAAAGAGTAAACACAACTACAAGCCAAGTATACTTAGAATACTTAATCATACTTTTAAGTATAGGCCAAATATACTTAAGACTCTATTTATGTCAGTTTAAGTCAAGTAAGTGCAAATTTAAGTGTATTTCTGAGAAGTACATAAAGTATATTTCTGAGAACATAAGAAGTTGACTGAAAGTATTTTATTTTTAGTTTAAAAGATACTAATAGCACACTTGAATAAACTTATTTTTTTGTAAGATTAAGAGGGAATGTGTCCATAATGGCAACACGAATTAGCCAGGCAACACAAATTTGATGTCATGTCTGAGCAACACGCAACACTAAAACGCTAAATAACAACAAAAAAATGATGAATAATACATGTCAACTTGAGTGTCAACTTGAAAATGAAGGGCTTGTTCAGCTATGCATATACATTAGCTCATGCTTATGCATATATTTTCTAGAATAGGTGTGGACATGTGTTGTGACAAGTAAGTGTGAGATTCTTTTGGAATAAAACAGCCTAGTCTAGTACACTTTCCTGTCAGAGCTTTAACATCTAGGGATAACTCCCAGAGCAATCTTCTTCAGAGGTGTTACATTTCCCCCACAGCTTGTGTTTCATGGTCCAAAGAGAGCTGAGAGACACTTGGCATGCATATTGATTCATCATGTACATTTTCATACACACAGTGATTGAACAGTTGAGAATAATCACCAAAGAGAGATGCACAAGGTGAATTCAGGTTGATGCGCAAGAAGCGTAATTAAAATACCGTGAGAAAATGTTTATTCAGTAGTGTTTTTTTATGAAATACAATACTGTTTCTGTAATTCTGTGACATCACCACTCATCACATTTCTCCAGTTCCAGCTTTTAACATCATTCCGATGCACAAATGTCCTTAAAATCCCTGTAGAACTGTTTCAGAACAGTAGGCACTTCAAGGGCTTCTAAAACATTTGTGAATATACATTTTCATAGATTTTTTTAACTAACATATTACATATAATATGTAGTATATAAATAATTATATTCTATAAATTATTGTATATTAACATATACAGAGACGTCGTTGACTCTAAATGGTCAGTCAGGTCTTTAAAAGAAACATATTGGAAATGCACATGAATAGAAGAGTAAAAATGAGCAGATGTGATTCACGTTATTAATCATCATCACTGTTAACAACACTGTTTGAGTCTTTGGAAGGTCAGAGACATTCAGCAGAGTATGCTCGAGTCAGAAACAAAAGAGAAATCATTTTAAAAGCTGCTTTAGCGTGAGGGATAATATTATGAAATAAAGAAAAATGGCCTTCATTAGGGTTTCTGTCAAAAATGAACATTGAAAATGGGTCGACTGAGAAGAATGGGGGCGTAAAAATATGTAAAACTGCAGACTGTGACTGGGTAAATGATGTTAACTTGTCATGGAAGATTCATTCTTGGACTCATTACACTTGTTAATAATCCATATCTTATTCTAATGAGCCTTTTTTCCATCCAAGTGTTGGGTAACTGGATATCAAAACGTTTTGTTGGGGGTTCTTGACCTTGATAAGCTTGTGTGCAATGCAAACTTATATCATAGTTACAGTAATCTTAATATTTGAAGTCAATTACTGCAATATTGAAGTATGCTATGAATGGAGTTGTGGCAGACTTTGATGAAACTAAAAGACAGAAAAAGAGAGAATGAAGGAATGTGTTCTTAGCTTTAGGCAAAGTAGGATGTGAACTTTCAGGGACTTAACACTGTACCAACTACATTAGAATCATGAAATATAACAAAATACATTTAAACATTCTCCAGTATGCTGTGATCTTTGAATGATTTCATATTGGCCAGACGAAAATACAAACATTCAGTTTGACTGAAGAACATAATGGCACAAGCCGAAGGAGAAAAATACCCTTTACAAAAACGATGAGATGCAAACTAAATTACTGATAAAGTCCACACTGAGATAAGTTACTCAAATGTAATCAGTGGAAAATTAAAGGTATCAGATACAACCCTGGATTTCCACCCCGGAATAGTCTTGTTCTTTAATAAAACGTACCTCTACTGTTACAAAGTAGTCACTGACTAAAACCTGTGAGAAATGATTTACTTTCATACACTGACAACAATTGTTTTCAAAAACCATAGAGAAACAATCTTTGACATTTTTGATCCCAAAAGAAAATACAAGCCCCGGTTGGGTTTGTAAAGCAAAATTACTTTTTTGTTACATTTTTAAATAAGTAAAGGTTCCCCGTAAAAAAAACAACAACAATCCCCTCGATGTGCTACCAATCCAACGCTACTCTTGGAGAGGAGTTGCTTGTCATAATGATGTTACTGTTGGCAATGATTGGTCATTCAGGCGTAGAACTCTTTACTCGGAGCCTTCTGATAGGCTGAGCTGGGTGGCTTGCGCTCTCCAAGGTCATAGCTCCCCTCATCCTTCTTTCTCATACGGTACACCAGAAGGAGGATCAGGAAGATGGCAAACAGGAAGCCAATCACTCCGCCGGCTATAACCGCTGCACCAAGAAGAATGACACCATGTCAAACAAAAATAATATTACGTTTATAATATCTAACACACACATCCAACAAAGGCTCACAGCTACAAATCAAATGAATCAAAATTTCAGTGAAATGAACACATAGGTCCTGTTTACACCTGGTATTAAGATGCATGTTGGTTGTTTGGATCACAAGTGGACGACACCAAATACAGGTGTAAAAGGGGTCTAAAACGTTTTGAGCTTGTCTTAATATGGAACTGAAATGTTCCCCTAACTGAAGAATCACCCTTCTGTGTGCTGTTCATTTTAAACATACCTGCCAGCACTTCTGTCCTTTGGAAGAGATTCTCTGTGCGAACCTCATGAAGCAGGTCAGCATCTTGTACAACACTCGGTGAGCTGGTGGCTTCAACGGTGACCTGGGCCTTTTCCGTCTGATCGTTATAGATCTAAAAAACAGTGAGAGGGGGAGCGAGAGAAAGACAGCTTAACATCAAAATTGCTGACACAAAAAACAATTCAGCTTGTAGATGGTGTCGGAAAAGATTCAATAACAAGATTGAAGGATCCAACTTAACAGTGGTGTTCAGTAAAACTGCGAAAGACAGCAGGTCAGTGTATGCGTCAAAGAGGGGCAATATCAAAAGTATCACAAGTTGTCACAATTTTGCAGGCTGTGCAGGTTTTCGGAGAAGTGGGAGTCAGCAAAAGCTTTGATAGTGTCAGAAGCAGTACGACTGAAATGGGCAAGCAATTGCACCTCTGGTCCCATGTCTGACTCGATGAATGTCTCTATGCTGATTTTGTCCATCTCTCTGGAAACAGAGGACTCCAAGCTGGGGCTGCTGGTGTAGACAGGCTCCTGAGTAGACCCCGCATTGAATTCTGGGTACCGCGCAATTACAGTGGAAGTGTCTTCATCATCATCTGTGTCACTAAAACCTAAAGAGATGAGTGAGAAATAAAGAAATTAAATACCGGTAAGTCAGCCATTAGAATGTTTTCATATACAAATGAAATATAGTTTGTTGCAATCCTTGAATTTGATTGGCTGAGCAGAGTTTTTTACTCAGCTTGTCTTTTTTGTGCATTCCAAAACCTCTGGAATTTTTAATCGTCTCTTTCTGCGTGTTACAATAATGTGCCAGCAGGTAGAGAAAAGTGAGTCTTTATGAGTGAGTCATTTGAATCATTCACTCAACCAACTCATTTAAAAACTTTGATTCATTCATGAACAAAACAAGTGGCTGTCTTTATGAGTGAGGCATTTAAATCATTCACTCAACCAACTCATTTAAAAAACATGGGCTGAGTCCGACATCACATACTCTCTTGATACTATTTTGAATAAGTACTTTATGACCACTAAAAACGCACATTGTATATAGTATGAATGTAATCCAGACATATTACATTTGCCATGTTGTCATTAAATGTCATTTCAAATCCTCTCCTGAGGTCTCATGGGATAGTAAAGTGTCTATCGTATTTACACTTCAGAATCTCGCCGGAAATAGTAGGTCATCTGGGTACTTTTTTACTACTGTATTTTGCCTACTATATAGTAGGGAAGTATGCGATTTCAGATGCAGCCACGGATTAATTCATAAACAAAACATGAGTTCATGAGTGAGTCACTGAATCATTCACTCAACTGTTTCATTCAGGACTGAAACTACAACTGTCTATTGCCTGAAGGAGCGCAAAAGTTAATTCTGCTGTGGCTTAGTGTGAAACAATGTTTCACTGACAAAGCAAAAACAGATAAAGTCACTGTTTGAGTATAGTGTCTAAAATATAATTTCCTTAATAATATTACCTTATATTTAATTTGCCTATGGTCAAATCGTGATGATTTTAAACGAACACTTGATGATTTTGAAAATATGAGGTTTTGCAAATGTTGACCTATGATGTTATGGTGTGATGAGACTATAATGACATACCAATGCCCGGAGCTTTACTTTGAGCATTCCAAATGTCTCACTTTCTTGGACTTTCAGTTCGGCATAAATACAACGATACAGAATAGGAATGCAGGATCAGCACTTTTGCTTAAAGTGTTTCCAAGAGAGACAGGTGAAATGCATAAAGTGTATAAATATTTCAACCGTTCTCTCCATTTTGCACTGTAATTGTGCCAGGTACAAGGCACTGCGGTACAGCAGTAAGGGGTAGAGAAATGACTTATTAATAATGCAGAATTTCTGTATGGAGCGGACATCTGCTGAGTGACTATGGTGGTCTTGGCTGACCGCGTTTGACTGCAGGTGAAACATCTGTCCGCTCAAAGGGTGGGCAGCGTTGTCTATCAACCACCTAGTAGACCTTCTATTAACAACACATTAGACAACCTTTAGCCACAACAACACTGGCTCTGTGGGTTCATTGTAAATACATCATTAAATTGTTTTTCTAGTACATGTACTATACATGCCCCAATAGTAAGTAAAAAAGCAGATATAAAAGCATAATTTTGTCTTTTTTTAGTTGAGTGATTACATAGGATAAACATTACAAAACTCTAACTAGAAAATACTTTTCCATTTTTTACTCGATGCAAACCCCACAGGGGTGTTTTGGGTGGTCGCAGGGCATTTCTATGCAGTTGGTTTTAAGTGTTTTAAGTACATTGTCTACAGCTACTTCCTGGTCAAATAAGCCTTTCCACGTGTTTCTGTGGTCCTATTCCAAGTGGCACATTTGGTGTGGACTTGCATTGTCGGTCGTGTCCTAGTGTCTGTGATGTCCACAAGACCGGAGGGTGTCCCATTTGTCATTGTAGGTTTCAAAAGTCCAAAGCAGACTACTACCCAACAATAGCGGCATTACCAAAGTGTGGACTTGGAGGAGGAGAAAGAAAGGAGAAAGGAATTTTGAGGGGAAAAAACATCCATTGTCCATTGCCAATAGTGTAGACTTGTATAAAGTACAGCTCACATAGAAGTCACTTTCAAACCTTTCTGTTGGTCAACTCAGTGACTTAAGTGATCAACTTGAACATGAGTGATATCTGCATGGGGAACCTTTTCGCCCTCACTCGAAACTCCCGATCATGTGGTTTTCTATTGGAACGACTGGATTTTTGTTGAGCAATGTTAAATGTGACCTCACCTTTAGGCTTGCATTTGAGACAATACCTTTGATATTCTAGCCTCTAGATCGCCAACACTGATCTCTAGGATCAACTTAGGCTCACAATGCTTTTGGGAAATGCACCCCTGACCACTTAGGGGCAAAAGTAGCAATACACCTCTCCTCAACAAGCCACATGATTAGAGATTATCATTCACAAACAGTGTGGGAGTTATGCGCCAAAATGGAACACTTGGTGTTAGGGGTTTGTTGAGTAATAGCCATAATATTATAATTATGGTCTCAGAGACTGAATATGCCTCAGAACAACAATAGTAATAAAATAAACTGTTTTAGAATCAGTAACAGTGATATAAACAATCCTTACCAGATCCTGAACCAGAAGTGAAGTCATCATCATCTAAAGGGTAGTCACCAGACTGCTGGTCATCCAAATAGATGTCATCAGCTGAGGCAGGGGACTGACCCGAGACCAGTACCTGCACAGGTGAACACAAGCAGAAATATTATTTGAAAAGTATTTTAAAATCTAGTAAACTTTCTTTAAGTGCAAAGGTTTAGTCATGTCCTTAGTACATATGAAATGATCTCAAAACATTCTGCAGTTACTGAAAAAAGAAATGTGCACCACTTAAGTACCATTAACATAATAAACATTTTTCTAAACAACACAGAAGAAAATCTTGGCTGATTTTGTTTTAAGCTGAAGACATAAACAACAACAAAAAAACGCCTTCCCAAGGTTCCTCCCACTTCTGTTTCCCTGGAAACTACCTCAAAGGAAAATAATATTTGATTCTCTTCCTCTGGAGAAAACTCTATGAAAACTCTCTGACCCACTAAACAGGTGCTAAAAACCAATCTAAAAGTCAGCATCTGTCATTTTTTTGCACATTGTGGAAGCAACAAAAGGTTTATCGCTCTGAAGTAATACTTCAAGGTTGAGGGGTGGCGCAAACAGACAGACACGGTCTAGCAAACAAACGCAAGAGGCTATCATTGTTATCAAGAGAGGGGCAGATGGACCTATGTTTATTTCCAAAACCTATGACCCTTTCTTTTTCATCATGATGGTATCACATCCTTCAGCGACTTCGTCGTCTCCCACAGACTTTTCCATTCACGCTTGCTGAAGCTCAGCCGTCTCTGATCTTCTCCATCCATATTAACCCTTCAGCAAATCACAAAGAGCCACCGACAGCCATGCTTTGTGCACCTATGTGTCATTGTATTTCTTACGTGGAGGGCAAACAATGAAATAGTGCATGAAAGCGCTGATATTGTCTGTGTGTGTGTGTGTGTATTTGATTAAAGTCTACAAGAGTGCCTGACAACGATATTGGATAATACTCCAAGCACCTTTGTGTGTAATCTGAATCCTCCTATTCACCCGCCTGATAAATAATGGCACTCAGGTGATAAGGTTCAATATTATAGAGGTCACTCATGCAGGATAAAAACCCAGGAAGAGTGAAGGGGTTGGATTCAAAGCCTGTACAATAACAGGAGGCTGGAGCGGGTGCTGTTTTCAGAGGCACTGAGGGGGAGATTAAACGGGACTTGAAAGCCAATGGAAGACTAAATAAAGCCACAGAAGAGCCAGAGCCTGTGATCAGCCATGGGTCCCGCTCAGGACAGCTCAAACATACATCAGCCTCTGTTTGACTCTTCACATTTTTCACAGTCTCCTCACAAAGCGAAGGCTTTCATTAGCCGTCATTGCTCATCGTGACAGAGAACACACAGGAAGACGGGATACAAAAACCCTGTTTAACCTCCACAGCTTACAATAACTGAACTTGAGTGACATAAGGGCTGTGTATGAAGCCTACGGCAGCTGCCTAGACAGTCAGTGACTAAACAGCCAGTGTTGTTTGTATGAAAGTTCCTAAGCAAATTGGCTTCAGAAAGACTTCAGAGCCACCGTAATGTCACCTCAAATGATCGAGAGCAAATTATTAAAGCGAGCTTTAGACATTTCTGAAAATATTTAACGACTACAATGCTTATGTCTGATTAAAGAGGAGTAAAGGTTTAAAAAACTGAGGGAAATCAGACAGCATTTTTTTAATAAACAGGAAGTGATGTAAACAGTGGATTTGAATGTGCCTTGATGCCTTCCTACAAAATAAAAAGTGTAGGACAGGCCTTAATTTCTACCTGATCCTACCTTTAAAGGGATTGGATTTCTTTCTTCTGCAGAACACAAAATAAGTTATTTTAAAGAATATTGGGAACCAAACAACATTGAACCCCATTAACTTCTGTGTATGGAAAAGAGAAACACATTTCTCAAAATATCTTCTTTTATGCTCCACAGAAGAAGAGATTACAGAAATGTAGTTTTGGGGTGAACAATCCCTTTAAGGAGCTATACCTTTAAATACTACTTTTGTTAGTGTAACTTAATGTAGTCAGGTTAATTTAATGATAAGAATCATATTCCATATGAATCATATTTCATTCATGTTACACCACTTGAAGCACAATTTACTGCATCTCTGCACACTACCTTTCAGCATATTTTGCTTTTTACTCTCTCTTACTGATTCTCTCTCTCTTTTTCTTCCATATAAAGAACATAATATAAAAATGATGTTTGCTTGTGCGAAAGTCGCTGCCATGATGCTGGTTGCAATGCTATGCATTTGCTAATGTGTTCTGATTGTTTTTAGCGCATTGCTATGTGGTTGCTAGAGTATTGGTAAGTGGTTTCTAGTGTGTTCTGGGTCGGGTTTCCCAAAAGCATCGTGAGCCTAGTTGATCGTAGAGACCATTGGTGACAATGTATACATCAAAATAACACAAGTCATGCCTATTTTTTAGCTAAGCACTAAATATCTAAAAATCTAAGATAGAGAGTACAAAAGTCAAAGCATCTGAGAATATGGAACGTGTTTCATAAAAACAGCACGTTTATTTTTTTTTTACGTTTAAACTCAACCACCAGTATCAAATCCTAAAATAATTCCAGCATACATTTGTCCTCATTTTTTTTTCTCTCATATGAAAGCGTGAGTCTCTGTTGCTTAATCCGTCTTGCAGTGAGAACGATTTTGATCCCTGCGATTTTCACACCCATGTATTCCACGAAAAACTGCCTTTAATGAATGGCAAAAGTGATTTAGAAAGTTCTCAAGAAAATCCTAGCGTTTAATTGAATGGGAATGCTCGGAAGAGCTTCGGTGAAATTGCTAATGGGATGAAGGGACTAAAAAGCCACGAACTGAAAGAAACTACTGCAGGTGGAGGAGTCAGATCTCAGATTTCAGACTGAAGTCACATTATTTTTCTTTACTTTGAGGACAGCCATGAAAGAGAGAGAGACGTAACTGAGGAAAAGAGAAAGAGCGAGAGAGTGCGGTAAGAGTGTGATGGATAATATCTCTCATTCCAAAACAAACTCCTGTCAGCCATATGAAGGTGAGAGCCACATTCCTGAGTTCCCGGACTGCAACACAAGTGCTGTATTGTGCGAGGGTCTGAGTCCCTCTCTTTCAGCCCGTGCCAATGATACAGCTGGACAGGAAACTCTGAAACTCACAACCAGCTCACTCTTCTTACTCAAACAGCCTTGCCAAGCAGCCCAGCACACACTCTCTCTGACTCTCTTTCCCTAACACCCTCTCTCTCTCTCTCTCTCTCTCTCTCTCAGCACACCGCCACCAACTCGTATGTTACACAGTGTCCAGCCAGCTGTACGCAGCTGCCAAGTCGAAGAGTTTAAAGCAGAGAGAAAGTACTGACACATATGGTGGATTTGGCAAGCAGAGGTCTAAAGTACATAAAAGGAAAACATTTACTGCTGACTGAAAATGAGGTGAATAATTCAAAGACAGGAAGCAACAAGGGCAAGAAATTAGAAATGCTGCCCGTGCCAACATTAAAACGTCTACATCTATATTGAAATTTAATGTGATTTTAATATGATTTCACTTGCCCTTGACATGGAGAGTGACAGTGGCAGAAGCTAAACGCTAGTGGCAGTTCTCCAGGTGGCTCTGTCTGTTTCCCCACCCTGTGAAAACCTGATTGATTAAGTCTACTCAGGCTTCCCTCACACTCTTACCACAGGATACACAGTGCAAAATACACAAATGTGGTCAATTAAGCTAAATGTAAATGCAGCCATTTTCCATTGGCCATTTCTCTCAAGTCCACAACTTCTGGTGAAGTGGATGGTATATCCATAGACAGACTCTAGGCTGAAAAGCAGTTCTTTCTTTTTGTCTAAATCACTAATGTTAGTCTTAAAGGTGATGTATGTCATTTTTTGACTGTACTAAAGCATTAAAATACCATTATATGTGTGCAGATATGTGGGAAACATGTTCAGTTCACATACTTGTTTCTCTGAAAAACAATGCTACAACCAGTTATTCTACTTTGAAATGTGTGTTCCGTGTCAAACCGTGTCCACTGCCAATTTAACCCAATCTACCCAATTTACCCAGTATTTCGACAACCCTAGCTTGCCAGTTGGCAGAAAAAAACTGCTTATTGCAGCCATGGACACAAGCAAATTAACTGAGTCAGACATCCCAGATTCTACACATCCTAAAAAGCTTCAGCATCCATCTGTCCAGTATCTATCCAGAGACATATTAAACATGGATAAATCAACTCAGCAACTTACAGTGTAAGGTTCCTTCCAGTGTCATGTGTCCTTAATCTAGCAACTTGCGTGAGGCTAGAGGAAACAAACTTTATAATTTAATACTTTGAATTTGGACTGCAGTACCCATTTCAACCTCTAGCTGTCAATATTGCTTACTGCAACTGTAAGAATGTAAATCAGCTGTGAGGTCAGAAAAAATAGTCCACCTATAATAGCAGGGTGGGGCCGAGAGCCGTGGGAACGAAGCGAGGCCAGTGGCGCGAGTGTTGAGCATCACCATGCGCACCACACCAGTCTCGAGTCCCACGGAGGAGCTCCGGAAAGATAAAAGGAGGAATGAAGAGCAAGATTAGATAGAGGATAAGGCATGGGACAATTATGTGTGTTTTTTGTTTTAATTTATGCGGCAGTCGTCAGTGAGGGGCTGTCTGGCACTTTACTTTCCTTTGTTATTTATGTTTATTTTGTGCATAAAGTTATGTTGAACGTACACCAGTTCCTGCCTCCTTTTCTCCTGAGCCTTGAACATCCTTAAAGACTGTTTCCCCTTACAAACTGTCCTGTGCTTCCAAGATTTGGTATGATAGATGGAATAAAATAGTATAATAATAACAGATTATCTTTATACTTTGAATATATGTGAAGGCCCCAATAAACTTACAGGGATAGTTTACCCCAAAATGAAAATTCTGTCAGTAATTACTCACCCTCATGTTGTTCCAACCCCGTAAGACTTTCGTTCATTTTCGGAACACAAATTAAGATATTTTTGATGAAATCTGAGAGCTGGATCACTCCTCCATAGGCTTAGAAAAGTTATTAAAGACAGTTTATCAAGCGACGAGAATACTTTTTGTGCGC